AGACAGTTCTTCACCTTTTACATCTAGACATGTCTTTACCTTATACATCAGACATGTCTTCACCTTTTACATCTAGACAGGTCTTCACCTTATACATCAAGACAGGTCTTCACCTGATACATCTAGACATGTCTTCACCTTTTACATCTAGACAGGTCTTCACTTTATACATCTAGACATGTCTTCACCTGATACATCTAAACATGTCTTCACCTTTTACATCTAGACAGGTCTTCATCATACACCTGATACATCAAGACATGTCTTTACCTTATACATCAAGTCATGTCTTCACCTGATACATCTAGAAATGTCTTCACCTTATACATCTAGACAGGCCTCCCCTTATACATCTAGACAGGTCTTCACCTTATACATCTAGACAGGTCTTCACCTTATACATCTAGACAGGTCTTCACCTTATACATCTAGACAGGTTGTTCACCTTATACATCTAGACAGGTCTTCACCTTATACATCTAGACATGTCTTCACCTTTTACATCTAGACAGGTCTTCATCATACACATCAAGACATGTCTTTACCTTTTACATCTAGACAGGTCTTCACCTTATACATCTAGACTTGACTTCACCTTATACATCACGGGAGGTTTTCACCTTATACATCTAGACATGTCTTCACCTTATGCATGGAAACAGGTCTTCATCACACACGTCTAGACATGTCTTCACCTTATACATCTAGGGGCGGTCGGGTAGCCTAGTGGTTAAAGCGTTCGCTCGTCACGCCGAAGACCCGGGTTCGAATCCCGACATGGGTACAATGTGTGAAGCCCATTTCTGGTGTCCCCCGCCGTGATATTGCTGGAATATTGCTAAAAGCGGCGTAAAACCAAACTCACTCACTCACTCACTCACATACTTATACATCTAGAAATGTCTTCACCTTATACATCAAGACAGGTCTTCATCATAAACATCTAGACATGTCTTCACCTTTTACATCTAGACAGGTCTTCACCTTATTCATCTAGACATGTCGTCACCTTATACATCAAGACAGGTTTTCACCTGATACATCTAGACATGTCTTTACCTTTTATATCTGGACAAGTCTTCACCTTATATATCAAGACAGGTCTTCATCATACACATCTAGACATGTCGTCACCTTTTTCATCTAGACAGGTCTTCACATTATACATATGGACATGTCGTCACCTTGTACATCAAGACAGTTCTTTACAATACACATGATACATCAAGACAGGTCTTCGTCTTATACATTAAGACAGGTCTTCATCATACTCCTTACACATCTAGACAGGTCTTCATCATACACATCATACAAATGCAATTATTATACCCCCGTTTAGGAAGTAAATCGGGGGTACATAGCGTTCCGTTCGTCCGTCCTTCCGTCCGTCCTTCCGTCCGAGCTTTTGTACGGCCCATAACTTTTTAACCATGCACCCTAGCTTCACCATCAAGACAGTCTTCATCATACACATCAAGACAGATCTTCACCTTATACATCTGGACAGATCTTCACCTTATACATCTGGACAGATCTTCACCTTATAGTATACATCTAGACAGGTCTTCACCTTATACATCAAGACAGTTCTTCACCTTATACATCTAGACATGTCGTCACCTTCTACATCTAGACATGTCGTCACCTTATACATCTAGACATGTCGTCACCTTCTACATCTAGACATGTCTTCACCTTATACATCTAGACAGGTCTTCATCATACACATCTAGACATGTCTTAACCTTTTCCATCTAGACAGGTCTTCACCTTATACATCTAGACATGTCGTCACCTTCTACATCTAGACATGCCTGTAACTTACACATCTAGACAGGTCTTCATCATATACATCAAGACAGGTCTTCATAATCCACCTTCTACATTTAAACAGGTCTTCACCTTACACATCTAGATAGGTCTTCACCTTACACATCTAGACAGGTCTTCATCATACACATCTAGACATGTCTTAACCTTTTCCATCTAGACAGGTCTTCACCTTATACATCTAGACATGTCATCACCTTCTACATCTAGACATGCCTGTAACTTACACATCTAGACAGGTCTTCATAATCCACCTTCTACATTTAAACAGGTCTTCACCTTACACATCTAGATAGGTCTTCACCTTACACATCTAGACAAGTCTTCATCATACACATCTAGACATGTCTTTACCTGTTCAATCTAGACAGGTCTTCACCTTATACATCTAGACATGTCGTCACCTTCTACATCTAGACATGTCTTCATCATACACATCTAGACAGGTCTTTACCTTTTCCATCTAGACAGGTCTTCACTTTATGCATCAAGACAGATCTTCACCTTATACATCTGGACAGATCTTCACCTTATACATCTAGACATGCCTTCACCTTACACATCTACACAGGTCTTCATCATACACATCAAGACAGGTCTTCATAATCCACCTTCTACATTTAAACAGGTCTTCACCTTACACATCTAGATAGGTCTTCATCATACACATCTAGACATGTCTTTACCTGTTCCATCAAGACAGGTCTTCCCCTTATACATCTAGACATGTCGTCACCTTCTACATCTAGACATGTCTTCACCTTATACACTCAGACAGGTCTTCATCATACACATCAAGACAGGTCTTTATAATCCACCCTCTTCATCTAAACTGGTCTTGACCTAACACATCTAGTCAGGTCTTCATCATACACCTTATACATCTATACAGGTCTTCATCATACACATCAAGACATGTCTTCATAATCCACCTTCTACATTTAAACAGGTCTTCACCTTACACATCTAGATAGGTCTTCACCTTACACATCTAGACAAGTCTTCATCATACACATCTAGACATGTCTTTACCTGTTCCATCTAGACAGGTCTTCACCTTATACATCTAGACATGTCGTCACCTTCTACATCTAGACAGGTCTTCACCTTATACATCTAGACATGTCGTCACCTTCTACATCAAGACAGTCTTCATCATACACATCAAGCCAGATCTTCACCTTATACATCTGGACAGATCTTCACCTTATACATCTGGACAGATCTTCACCTTATACATCTGGACAGATCTTCACCTTATACATCTGGACAGATCTTCACCTTATACATCTGGACAGATCTTCACCTTATACATCTGGACAGATCTTCACCTTATACATCTAGACAGATCTTCACCTTATACATCTAGAAATGCCTTCACCTTACAAATCTAGATAGGTCTTCACCTTACACATCTAGATAGGTCTTCATCATACACATCTAGACAGGTCTTCATCATACACATCAAGACAGTCTTCATCATACACATCAAGACAGATCTTCACCTTATACATCTAGACATGCCTTCACCTTACACATCTACACAGGTCTTCATCATACACATCAAGACAGGTCTTCATAATCCACCTTCTACATTTAAACAGGTCTTCACCTTACACATCTAGACAGGTCTTCATCATACACATCTAGACATGTCTTTACCTGTTCCATCTAGACATGTCTTCACCTTCTACATCTAGACAGGTCTTCACCTTATACATCTAGACATGTCGTCACCTTCTACATCAAGACAGTCTTCATCATACACATCAAGCCAGATCTTCACCTTATACATCTGGACAGGTCTTCACCTTATACATCTAGACATGTCGTCACCTTCTACATCTAGACAGGTCTTCACCTTTTACATCTAGACAGGTCTTCACCTTATACATCTAGACATGTCGTCACCTTTTACATCTAGACAGGTCTTCGTCATACACATCAAGACAGTCTTCATCATACACATCAAGACAGTCTTCATCATACACATCAAGACAGATCTTTACCTTATGCATCAAGACAGATCTTCACCTGATACATCTGGACAGATCTTCACCTTATACATCTAGACATGCCTTCACCTTACACATCTACACATGTCTTCATCATACACATCAAGACAGGTCTTCATAATCCACCTTCTACATTTAAACAGGTCTTCACCTTACACATCTAGATAGGTCTTCATCATACACATCTAGACAGGTCTTCGTCATACACATCAAGACAGGTCTTCATCATACACATCAAGACAGATCTTCACCTTATACATCTGGACAGATCTTCACCTTATACATCTAGACATGCCTTCACCTTACACATCTACACAGGTCTTCATCATACACATCAAGACAGGTCTTCATAATCCACCTTCTACATTTAAACAGGTCTTTACCTGTTCCATCTAGACAGGTCTTCACCTTATACATCTAGACATGCCGTCACCTTCTACATCTAGACATGTCTTCACCTTCTACACTCAGACAGGTCTTCATCATACATATCAAGACAGGTCTTTATAATCCACCCTCTTCATCTAAACTGGTCTTGACCTAACACATCTAGACATGTCTTCACCTTATACATCTGGACAGGTCTTCACATTATACATCTAGACATGTCGTCACCTTTTACATCTAGACATGTCGTCACCTTACACATCTAGATAGGTCTTCACCTTACACATCTAGATAGGTCTTCATCATACACATCTAGACAGGTCTTCATCATACACATCAAGACAGTCTTCATCATACACATCAAGACAGATCTTCACCTTATACATCTGGACAGATCTTCACCTTATACATCTAGACATGCCTTCACCTTACACATCTACACAGGTCTTCATCATACACATCAAGACAGGTCTTCATAATCCACCTTCTACATTTAAACAGGTCTTCACCTCACACATCTAGTTAGGTCTTCATCATACACCTTACACATCTAGACAGGTCTTCATCATACACATCAAGACAGGTCTTCATCATACACATCAAGACAGGTCTTCATAATCCACCTTCTACATCTAGACAGGTCTTCACCATACACCTTATAAACCTAGACAGGCCTTGTCTTATGATTGGGTCTAATAAATACCTGCATTGCACGTTGTTAATTGCTACGAATTGCTCACTACAATGAGTCTTCTTTGTTTATTACAGGCGTCTCAGGTGCTTGGACAATTTCTTGTTCTTAAGACAAATGAAGAGGATTTCGCGCTATGGTTGTACAAGACAGCTAAGGTAGATGAGCACAACGCCAAGAAGTGCTACAAGGCTCTGAAAGAATGGTACGACAGATTCGGCTAAGCTATGGCTGATGTACACTACTGCCTAGAAGTTCATTCCCCTTACATGCATGGGCAACGCGTTACGCACACCGTGTGCACCCTGTTGGTCACTTGTAAATTGTTCATTGTTAATTGTTCATTGTTCTTGTAAATAAAATTGTGATTAGTCTCCTGTGACTCCGGCTCTTTGCTGACTTATTCCCCAAGAAATCCAGCACGCCATTTGGACGGTTTTGTTCACCCATAACAGTCCATGATAGTAGAAACAAGAAGATAACTTTTTGATTTCCTGACGAAAAATGTTATGTTACATTTTATTATATGTACTTGCTGATTTCTCATTTTTAAATGTGATTTTGTTGGAAAATATGAGTACTGTTGTGGCTTCTACATGATGGTATGCGCTGGTGTGATAAGAGAATACATGATCCTGTTAAATGTTATTGCTATTCAAATGCTATTTGTGCTTTGACTTTAAATGTCTGTACTACGACTATCAGTGTTCATGTTTGTGAGGTTTGGTGGAGCATTGTTTTGTACTTCTCCCTTTAATGTACTTGGAATGAATAGAAAGATTTCTCTTTTTTTAATGACACTATACCTGTATTTGTTTAACCTAATATTTCTGACTCATCTGTTCGACACGGCTCGTGATAAATAAAGGTCATTCCACTCTGATGAAACTGTTCGTGTTTGCATTATACATGTTTTACTCGTTTAGGAAATGAAACATTACAATACTTGTTTCGTAAAAGCAATATAGCATGCACGCCTGATAAGCTCTCTGTATCCAGGTATCATAAATGTTAGCCATGCACCATGACTGAGGATGTAATCAAAAAGAGCCTTGATGAGGAAAATAGGCAAGTCTAAGAAGTTACATTAATCAACTGAATTTTACAGTAAATGTTGTTTTAAACAGAGATCATATGTGTAAAAAGATGTCACACCTATGTGCTAGCCATGTATATATGCACTTCTCGTGTCGCTGTCTATGGCTGCATCGTGATAGTTAGTGAATCCTGCGTTACACTGTCTGGTATCTGTTGGCGGCATCTCATACAGCTTCTCCGCATCTCACCACAGCCCCTCCCAATCGCACCACAGCCCCTCCCCATCTCACCATGGCCCCTCCCCATCTCATCAAGGCCCCTCCCCATCTCACCACAACCCCTCCCCATTTCATCACAGCCCCTCCCCAACTCACCACGGCCCCTCCCCATTTCACCACAGCCCCTCCCCATTTCATCACAGCCCCTCCCCAACTCACCACAGCCCCTCCCCATCACAACAGTCCGTCTGCATCTCAACACAACCCCTCCCCATCTTACCACAACCCCTCCCTATCTCACTGCAGTCCCTCCCATTCTCAACAGTCCGTCTGCATCTCAACACAACCCCTCCCCATCTTACCCCAACCCCTCCCTTCTCACCAAAGCCCCTCCTCAATCCCGCCAGGGCCCCTCTCCAATTGCACCGACCCCATCCCTCACTGCACCAGAGCCCCTCCTCAATCTCGCCAGGGCCCCTCTCCCATTGCACCAACCCCATCCCTCATTGCACCAACCCCATCCCTCATTGCACCAGAGCCCCTCCTCAATCTCGCCAGGGCCCCTCTCCCATTGCACCGACCCCATCCCTCATTGCACCAGAGCCCCTCCTCAATCTTGCCAGGGCCCCTCTCCCATTGCACAGACCCCATCCCTCATTGCACCAGAGCTCCTCCCTCAGTGCACTAGAGCCCCTCTCTCGTCTCTCTACAGCCCCTCCTCAATCTCGCCAGGGCCCCTCTCCCATTGCACTGACCCCCTCCCTCATTGCACCAGAGCCCCTCCTCAATCTCGCCAGGGCCCCTCTCCCATGCACCGACCCCATCCCTCATTGCACCAGAGCTCCTCCCTCATTGCACTAGAGCCACTCTCTCGTCTGTCCACAGCCCCTCCTCAATCTCGCCAGGGCCCCTCTCCCATTGCACCGACCCCATCCCTCATTGCACCAGAGCCCCTCCTCAATCTCGCCAGGGCCCCCTCTCCCATGCACCGACCCCATCCCTCATTGCACCAGAGCTCCTCCCTCATTGCACTAGAGCCCCTCTCTCGTCTGTCCACAGCCCCTCCTCAATCTCACAAGGGCCCCTCTCCCATTGCACCAACCCCCATCCCTCATTGCACCAGAGCTCCTCCCTCATTGCTCTAGAGCCCCTCCTCAATCTTGCCAGGGCCCCTCTCCCATTGCACCGACCCCATCCCTCATTGCACCAGAGCCCCTCCTCAATCTCGCCAGGGCCCCTCTCCCATTGCACCAACCCCATCCCTCATTGCACCAGAGCTCCTCCCTCATTGCACTAGAGCTACTCTCTCGTCTGTCCACAGCCCCTCCTCATTCTCGCCAGGGTCCCTCTGCCATGCACCGACCCCATCCCTCATTGCACCAGAGCTCCTCCCTCATTGCACTAGAGCCACTCTCTCGTCTCTCCACAGCCCCTCCTCAATCTCGCCAGGGCTCCTCTCCCATTGCACCAGAGCTCCTCCCTCATTGCACCAGAGCCCCTCCTCAGTCTCACCAGGGCCCCTCTCCCATTGCACCCACCCCATCCCTCATTGCACCAGAGCTCCTCCCTCATTGCACTAGAGCCCCTCTCTCGTCTGTCCACAGCCCCTCCTCAATCTCACAAGGGCCCCTCTCCAATTGCACCAACCCCATCCCTCATTGCACCAGAGCTCCTCCCTCATTGCACTAGAGCCACTCTCTCGTCTCTCCACAGCCCCTCCTCAATCTCGCCAGGGCCATGCACCGACCCCATCCCTCATTGCACCAGAGCCCCTCCATAATCCCACCAGGGCCCCTCTCACATTGCACTGACCCCATCCGTTATTGCACCAGAGCTCCTCCCTCATTGCACTAGAGCCCCTCTCTCGTCTCTCCAGAGCCCCTCCTCAATCTTGCCAGGGCCCCTCTCCCATTGCATCGACCCCATCCCTCATTGCACCAGAGCCCCTCCCTCATTGCACCAGAGCCCCTCCCTCATTGCACCAGAGCCCCTCTTTCCTCTCACAACAGAGCCTCTTCAGTCCCACTCCCAATTCACATAATATCACTCCAGAGTGATCTTATCCTAGGAGCAAAATCACTCCCCTTAGGATCTTCACACACACACACACACACACACACACACACACACACACACACACACACACACACCACCCCCAACCTTCGCAGGATGAAAACACTCACCAGTATAAAAATACTTATACTTTCTGCCTACTGTATTTGCGATAAGCAGCGCCCTACCCTTATCAAGTATTACTTATCCAAACCTTCCAACCTTCAACGTTAATTGTTATACAAGTTACGCACTACTGATTATTGTGGTAACCCTTTGTAAGATGAGTAAAAGGATTCCCAACTTTGTCTTGTCAATATACTGCTACTATCAATGAAGGTTATTAAATATGTATATAATCCATATGCAACTATATATTCCATTTGTCATAAACTCACATTTATAATCATGCTTTTTATGTAACTAGTAATCATTCCCTGATTTTTTTTATTCCTTGCTAAGCTCCTATGTTAGAAGTTTATCAGTATACATTGGTGGACGTGTCAGTTCTGTACCAGCATGTCAGTATAACAATATATAAAACACAAAAGCAATGAAACCGTACTTAACAAAGTTACATGATACCGCCATTTCACGGCTTCAACCTCTGTATTCCTTGGTACATACACGTGTGACCAAAATATGAGAAACTGAGACTGGGTCTTCCTTTGACTTTCTTGTCCGCTTTATACATCACAAGCGTACTTTCTATCTTTAATACGTGTAAGTGATGGTCATTGGTCTGCCTTTATACTGAATGTAATTTCACTATTACCACCACATACTGCACCTGACCTTTTCAGATGAAAATGAATTGGCATGATTTTATCAATTGTTAATTAAGTTTTGAAGGGGATATAAAAACGGGCCCCGTAGATCTGTTTCACGTCTCTTTCTCGAACATAACTCATAAACTAACGCTTGGAAAATATATAATTATCAGGTAAATTGAAGAGAGGTCCCAGTGAAATGGGGGATTATCTATGGAAAATCTAGACTTGCTTCATTTAGGGCTATAGCATTACAGTTAGGTTTGGCCGGAAGGGGAAATAATACAGTACAGCGACTGAGACTTATAAACCGTGGAATATTTGTTTTTGGAACTTTGTATACACACCAGGCATGCATTGAACTGGTGCCTAGTGCTATTCGAGTCATTCATTGTATCAGTGTTCGCAAGAGAGGAAATGTGCCCTGGAATAAAACGCCCAGTTATTGAAACAAAACCTAACAAGATACCGGCACTGTATATCGGAGAGCAAGGCTCGAACTGGTCGGTCGGGTGATTGTTATACGTGTTCTGTATAGTAACCTTTCTGGTTTCAAGAAGGGGCGCAACAGGTGGCGTGACCTCCGGCAGAATAGGTCAGCCCCCCTCCTTAAGAACTCCGCACATGGGAGCGACGAAGTCACACCTGCTTGTGTTGTGCTAGCCGACAAAACGATACGTGGTAGATATACAGATGTAGTGTGGAGGTGATTAGAAATAACGTGTACGACCTGTGGTTCGAGTCAAATTACGGTGTCAGGCTCCCTAGGATTGCGTGTTTGCAATTGGCCACAATAATATTTAACAATTACAACGATGGTAAATCTATCTTAATTGTATTATGCAGAGACTTTCATAACAGGCTTTCCTTGACTAACTATGCCTGTTACACGATGTCCTGGTGACACCGTCGACGATGTTTACCATCCGCTTTTTTGACGTACCGTTCATGCATAGGGAATCTTCTTAGTGTGGGGACCTGTGAAGATCCGGGTTGGAATAGGTCTTCAGCAACCCATGCTTGCCGTAACAGGGGACTATGCTTGTCGTCAGAGGCGACTAACAGGATCGGGTGGTTAGGCTCGCTGACTTGGTCGATGCATGTCATCGTATCCCAATTGCTTATGTCGATGCTCATGATATCAATCACTGGATTGTCTTGTCCAGACTCAATTATTTACAGACCGCACTAATATAGCTGGAATATTGCTGAGTACGGCGTTGAAAAAACAAACACATAGGCAAACACGTGTGACGTAAAAACGACAGAGACTACATATACGATAGGAAGTCTACACGCTATAAACCCCATGGAACTTCCGGGTTAGTAGAGGTCGCCATCTACCTAAGGCGCCCTACGTGAAGATTTTACAGACCGTTTCGGTATGACGTCCGGAGACTTGGCTGATTGCGTACCATTATACACCGACGGCGGGGAACGTTGCTCATAATATTAATCACATGATGTTTTGATCAAGACGTCGTGCTATAGCTGGAACTTTGCTGAGTCCGGCGTAAAACAATTATATTTAATTATATATAAGTAGACTAACTCGGGTCCCATTGAAATAACTAAAAGAACTAGGATGTAAGGACATATATTTTATAACCTACTGTGAAGAAGACCAAGCTCTAAAAAGTCATCTGAACGAGTGTGTTTGGTTTAACGCCTCCTTGAACCGTATATCACGGCGTGCCCGCTTAATGTGGGAGAAAAGTCCGAAGTGATATAGGTTTGAGACATTTACCACTTTGATGAAACCCCCGAGCCCGGGTATGATGCTATCAAAACAAGAACCAGAAACACGTTTCCTGGCACGACAAAGGGACGCAACTCTATACAGCGAATTGCGGTGCCTTAGAAGGGCCATCCGTACCATACTACGCAATGACGTATTCTTCTGACGATTATTCTGAAACGACCAGTTCGAAGGAGAGAGAAACTATTATTCATTAGTTCATTTTTCTAACGAATATCGTAGGGACACAATTCTATGTGATCATACAACCCAGCAAATCTGCTGGTTAACAAAACAGAAGTAAGAGATGAACCAATACAAATAGATGAGTGAGTGAGTATGGTTTTACGCCGCTTTTAGCAATATTCCAGCAATATCACACCAGAAATGGGTTTTACACATTATACCCATGTAGGGAATCGAACCCGGGTCTTCGGCGTGACAAGTGAACGCTTTAACCACTAGGCTACCCCACCGCCCCACATATAACAAGACACATGGACATCAGTGTAAACGTTTTAATACATGAGGTATATTTAGTATGAGTATGTCGTAAGTATGCGCGTGTCAACAGAGGCAATGACGATACAAAAACAAAAGTCAAGGTATCTGATGCAGCAATGCATCTCTATGCAGGACACTGTTATTATTTACACGTGAGACGTTTCGATGCAAATATTTCCACCTTTATCAAACTGCACCAACACTTCACACAACAAGTTAAATAAATCGTTGTGCATCCATACCATGGCTTGTTAGTATACTACATCAATACCATGGCTTGTTAGAACACTACATCCATACCATGGCTTGTTAGTATACTACATCAATACCATGGCTTGTACGTATACTACATCAATACCATGGCTTGTTAGTATACTACATCCATACCATGGCTTGTTAGTATACTACATCCATATCATGGCTTGTAGTATACTACATCCATACCATGGCTTGTTAGTATACTACATCCATACCATGGCCTGTTAGTATACTACATCCATACCATGGCTTGTTAGTATACTACATCCATACCATGGCTTGTTAGTATACTACATCAATACCATGGCTTGTTCGTATACTATATCCATACCATGGCTTGTTAGTATACTACATCAATACCATGGCTTGTTAGTATACTACATCAATACCATGGCTTGTTCGTATACTATATCCATACCATGGCTTGTTCGTATACTATATCCATACCATGGCTTGTTAGTATACTACATCCATACCATGGCCTGTTAGTATACTACATCCATACCATGGCTTGTTAGTATACTACATCCGTACCATGGCTTGTTAGTATACTACATCCATACCATGGCTTGTTAGTATACTACATCCGTACCATGGCTTGTTAGTATACTACATCCATACCATGGCTTGTTAGTATACTACATCCGTACCATGGCTTGTTAGTATACTATATCCATACCATGGCTTGTTAGTATACTACATCCATACCATGGCCTGTTAGTATACTACATCCGTACCATGGCTTGTTAGTATACTACATCAATACCATGGCCTGTTAGTATACTACATCCATACCATGGCTTGTTAGTGTACTACATCCATACCATGGCTTGTTCGTATACTATATCCATACCATGGCTTGTACGTATACTACATCCATACCATGGCTTGTTAGTATACTACATCCATACCATGGCTTGTTAGTATACTACATCCGTACCATGGCTTGTACGTATACTACATCCATACCATGGTTTGTTAGTATACTACATCCATACCATGGCTTGTTAGTATACTACATCAATACCATGGCTTGTTAGTATACTACATCCATACCATGGCCTGTTAGTATACTACATCCGTACCATGGCTTGTTAGTATACTACATCAATACCATGGCCTGTTAGTATACTACATCCATACCATGGCTTGTTAGTGTACTACATCCATACCATGGCTTGTTCGTATACTATATCCATACCATGGCTTGTACGTATACTACATCCATACCATGGCTTGTTAGTATACTACATCCATACCATGGCTTGTTAGTATACTACATCCGTACCATGGCTTGTACGTATACTACATCCATACCATGGTTTGTTAGTATACTACATCCATACCATGGCTTGTTAGTATACTACATCAATACCATGGCTTGTTAGTATACTACATCCGTACCATGGCTTGTACGTATACTACATCCATACCATGGTTTGTTAGTATACTACATCCATACCATGGCGTGTTAGTATACTACATCCATACCATGGCTTGTTAGTATACTACATCCATACCATGGCTTGTTAGTATACTACATCCATACCATGGCTTGTTAGTATACTACATCCGTACCATGGCTTGTACGTATACTACATCCATACCATGGTTTGTTAGTATACTACATCCATACCATGGCGTGTTAGTATACTACATCCATACCATGGCTTGTACGTATACTACATCCATACCATGGTTTGTTAGTATACTACATCCATACCATGGCTTGTTAGTATACTACATCCATACCATGGCCTGTTAGTATACTACATCCATACCATGGCTTGTTAGTATACTACATCAATACCATGGCCTGTTAGTATACTACATCCATACCATGGCTTGTACGTATACTACATCCATACCATGGCTTGTTAGTATACTACATCCATACCATGGCTTGTTAGTATACTACATCCGTACCATGGCTTGTTAGTATACTACATCCATACCATGGTTTGTTAGTATACTACATCCATACCATGGCTTGTTAGTATACTACATCAATACCATGGCCTGTTAGTATACTACATCCATACCATGGCTTGTTCGTATGCTACATCCATACCATGGCTTGTTAGTATACTACATCCATACCATGGCTTGTTAGTGTACTACATCCATACCATGGCTTGTTAGTATACTACATCCATACCATGGCCTGTTAGTATACTACATCCATACCATGGTTTGTTAGTATACTACATCCATACCATGGCGTGTTAGTATACTACATCCATACCATGGTTTGTTAGTATACTACATCCATACCATGGCTTGTTCGTATACTACATCCATACCATGGCTTGTTCGTATACTACATCCATACCATGGCTTGTTAGTATACTACATCCATACCATGGCTTGTTAGTGTACTACATCCATACCATGGCTTGTTAGTATACTACATCCATACCATGGCTTGTTAGTGTACTACATCAATACCATGGCTTGTTCGTATACTACATCCATACCATGGCTTGTTAGTATACTACATCCATACCATGGCGTGTTAGTATACTACATCAATACCATGGCTTGTTCGTATACTACATCCATACCATGGCTTGTTAGTATACTACATCCATACCATGGCTTGTTAGTGTACTACATCCATACCATGGCTTGTTAGTATACTACATCCATACCATGGTTTGTTAGTATACTACATCCATACCATGGTTTGTTAGTGTACTACATCCATACCATGGTTTGTTCGTATACTATATCCATACCATGGCTTGTTAGTATACTACATCCATACCATGGCTTGTTAGTATACTACATCCATACCATGGCTTGTTAGTATACTACATCCATACCATGGCTTGTAAGTATACTACATCCATACCATGGCGTGTTAGTATACTACATCAATACCATGGCTTGTTAATATACTACATCAATACCATGGCTTTTTAGTATACTACTCACAATAACTTACAGATCACTCGATTCTTTCATATTACTGTACTGTACTGTCCTGACACGACATATTAACCACAGTAAAATGAAAGAATCTTATAGTAATATGAAAGAATCGTACAGAACGAGTCAGAAAGAATCGAAAACGTTTTTAGTAGTATATATGTATGTACATGGACTTCCCCAATGCAATTCTCGTCACATACCAGTAATCCTGAACAGAGCCTTGCAAAGTTGACAGAACCTGGGCCCACTTGCACAAAGCGATCTTAGAGCCAAGATGATCGTAACTCCCATACTTTAACATAGGCTAAGATCGCTTTGTGTTAAAGGTTTGAGAGCCATCTGTGCTCTAATGTCAAGCGTTTCAATTTAAAGGATCATCGTGGCCTCGATCGTTTTACCCTCGGTTGTTACCACTGGGGTATATAATTAAGACCCGTGAAATAATAACATCCAATCGAAAACAATCAAAATCAGGTACCGTGCCCCATAAATCGGGCAATATTTCCTATTAAATTTATGATTTTAACATCGGTTCCTCAGTGATAGGTAGTGATAGATATTACATTGCACGAACAGTGTCCATAAACACGTTTAAACTAAATATCGTAGCCTTTATCTAGCAATATATACACATTATGCATGAAAGATTTCATTCCTGCCGTCACGACCTCCAGACAGTCGATTGTTTGAGCTATCCCACCGTCTGTACACAAATAACAACAAATTTTAATTATACATAGGTGTGCATTAATATCACGTGGTATCTAGGCCGGATCCACGCACCTGCCGCCAATAGCGCTCGGGACGAACTGTTTGCCGAACACGCCGCACATAACGGAAGCCATTCGCGCGTTCTCGTCGCGACGTTCTCGTTGGTTCTCGTTTCGGAGTCTGAAACTGTTGCCGCCATTGCTAAGAAAGTCGTAAGCTGTCTGTCTATCCTGGAAAGGCCCGGTTTGTCTGTGTCCATTCTGGAGTGCCATGAAAGGATCCACGCCCCCTGTGTTTGTTCTGGTTCCGGTCGAAAGAGTGTGAGACCCGGTCGCGACAAGACGCCGTGTTCCACCCTGTCTACGAAGCTGCTCGGCGCGTCTTTGGACGTTTCCGAGTCGTTGTGGTCGTCGGCCTTGACTATGTGGATACGCTGACGCCGTGAGGTTCAGCCGTGGTCGTCGTCTGCGATGCTGCCTCAGACGGTACCGTCGCAATGCGCCGCCCCGCCCTGACTCGTTGCGGCCATGTCCGTGGCCTCTGTATCTAGCCCTCCACACCCCGACATTCGTGTGGGCCCCTGTGGAGGTGTTGACGGCCGGTTGGGGATCCACCGAGCTGCTGTTACCGTTGGATATTGTATAGCTCATCTGTATCCCCGCGCCATCTTGATTGTCTGGAACACAGAAGGTTGGCGTTGAGGACTCCATGTTATGGGCTAATGAACTTAGGACAAAAGAAGAGCAGTTGGCATCGAGAAGTGAGGAGAGGTGGTGTGAAATGGTCTTCAACGTCGCGTTCAAGATTATTGCACTTATGTAGCGACGTACATGTACGTGTGTGTGTGTTTGTGTTGTTTAACTGCGCAGTTAGCAAAATTCCAGCTTAATGACGGAGGGCTGTAAATATTAAGGCCGGACAAACCAATCCAGTGATTGACATCATGAGGATGTGAGAGAGAGCATGCCGGCATTTTGCCACGATGCAGCCGGGATTCCATAACATAACATTAGGTGCTTGGGCCCATTATTTGGGTATTCACCTCAAACTGACACCGAATCCTGTTTTCCTCAAGTGAATTTCACATTGTATACACATGAACCTATACATTCGAGAAAAGAAAAGAAAATCATCGGTCTCTGTCTCAATTACACTTCTTCAATATTTGCATTATATATCCGTATTAAATACACGTGATATATAAACTCTTGCTGTATATGAAGTCAATCAATAATTCAATAAAATTAAAATCACAGTGACACGCTCATTAATGGTGTATAAACAATTCTGTAGTCCACGTTCAGAGCTTCAGAGAAAATATTCAAATACGCCAGCACAAAACCTACACTCGAGTACCTGTGAGTATGACCTACACTCGAGTACATGTGAGTATGACCTACACTCGAATACCTGTGATTACGACCTACACTCGAGTACCTGTGATTATAACCTACACTCGAGTACCTGTGAGTATGACCTACACTCGAATACCTGTGATTACGGCCTACGCTCGAGTACCTGTGATCATGGCCTACACTCAAGTACCTGTGATCATTACCTATACTCGAGTACATGTGATCATGGCCTATACTCGAGTAGCTGTGATCATAACCAACACTCGAGTACCTGTGATCATGACCTACACTCGAGTACCTGTGATCATGGCCTACACTCGAGTACCTGTGATCATGACCTACACTCGAGTACCTGTGATCATGACCTACACTCGAGTACCTGTGATCATGACCTACACTCGAGTACCTGTGATCATGACCTACACTCGAGTACCTGTGATCATGACCTACACTCGAGTACATGTGATCATGGCCTACACTCGAGTACATGTGATCATGACCTACACTTGAGTACCAGTGATCACGACCTACACTCGAGTACCTGTGTTCGTGACCTACACTATGTGATCATGTACTGTATTGTTTTGTAGAACGGGACTATCGATTTATCTTTCAGAGGCAATATATGTCAATATCATTATGATGGTTATGTGTACCAAGTATATCCTCAGCATATCCACGTGCGAAACAACGCTTCCAGACAACAGATGTGCGAGTTGTCAACACTAATTCCCACAAGTCGATAACACCCCTCCTCCTCCTCATCCGCTCTTGTCCCAGCGTTCCCGGCTCCCTGCGTCTGTATCATTCATCACCAGCACTACACCGGGTTCCCCTCAACGTAAACACCCCCAACCCCCCTCCCCATCCCCCACGGCAACGATAACGCAATGTAGCTCCAATTACCCGCCCCCACTTGGACAATAAACACAAGCTGCTTGTAAGTAGAGTCCCTTTGGTAAACGTCTCAGAATATGGCAACACTTCAACAGACGGAACAAGACCTTACAATGCGAATTTATCAGCTACTAACACAAAGCAGATCAATCATCTCTGTGTAAAATACCCCACAACAAGCACGAGTGAGGAAGCACGCGACATAGACTAACATTTAGTCTCTGAAATCTTATGTTACACAATATCCTTCTTGACTCTAAAAATCAAAAACAATTCCCTATGCTGATTTCAGATAGAGCTAGCTTGAGCTTGCTAGACTTGCTTTTGTATGCATTTCTAGATTATTATTTTTTATAAAATAAATATATTCCACGGTCGTGGTGCAGGACTACGGGCGACGGTACAAACTGCAAACGCTGCCATATCACGGTGCCGAAGAAATAAACCAGAGGTTGTTAGCCAATGTATGTTTCTAAGAAGAAAATCAGTTTTACAATTAATCATTAAAGAATATTGTTCACAGGTTTTCTGTAAGAAAGCATGGAATTCCAAAGTGCACATGTATATTTCAACAGATGGAAGAACCTGCTTTAAAGCGTATTTGATGTACAAAGTACTACAACATTGCCTAGATACACTATTTTCCGACTATTAAGTCATCTAATAAGAAGGTGTTGGGCAAAAGTCGAGTAGTGTAGATCTACCGTGCTGGTGCCATGTGAGGAATTTGGGAAAAACAACAAGACAATAAATAGGTCAGGATCACAGGGAGCAGCTTGGTACTCAAAATTCTGGATATTAGGAAATATTTAACAGTGTTCGGTTACCTGGTTGTCCCACGGAGTCCGATAAGATGTATGCGGTCAAGACGAGACTGACGACAAGAAAGTCCTTCATCGTGGCGGTAGAGAAAAACTTGCTAACTTGAAGATTCCTCACTGTTGCTTAGTGTCTTGAGAACTGTGAAAACCCAACTAATTTGCCGTGTTTGTGGGAAGGGCTCTTGAAGGGGGGCCCATACGGCGTTGTCGGGGGATCATGGGGAGGGAAACACAGATGTTGGTGAGAGGCTTTAAACCCAACGGTTTCAGCCAGGCCTGAAGATTGTGTTTACTTAAATTGCTCGTTCTAGTCGGGAGTGTGTGGCATAGTTTAGACTGATTCCTAAATCCTGACCTCTACTCAAACATACCAGAGACCATATGAAGATGTGTGTATATGTGTGTAGATTAAGTGTGTCATGTGGAAAGGGGCCATATGGAAAATGGATACGATTTAAGTCATGTGATTTCTTTCTCTCACAACCGCTATGAACTGTCTCGGCTCGTGATTCACTGTCTACCATTACTCAAGGCGTTAAATCCACAAACACATTTCATTATAAATAATAATGTGGTTTAGTTCACTACTAACTGGACATTCAATCTCTCCCCGTACTGCTCAGAGAAATGTTCAACCACAGCTTCAGCCTATGCCGTAACCGTTGCTTACAATTTATCTTTTCATGTGGATGAAGAATGTAAGAAATGTTATATTTGGGATAACACTTTCTTGGTAAAGTACAGATTCTCCTACTTTTGGGGGGTGGGTCCGGGATTCGAACCCACACCGCCAGAGTGAGACACCTAATCGCCAACACACAAAGTCAGCGATCTAACCCACTCAGCCACCGAGGCCGAAAGTCCGACAACTGGTAGTCTAGATCACGTACTTTGTGTACCCCTCTCACAAGTGTAAATCGTAGATGAGGAATATTTAATCTTTGGATGTTGCAGCCTGTACAAATGCTATGTATTGGCAATATCTGTATTTCTGGCCCGCAACTTTGTCAATACATTAGACCCAAACGATTCACTCGTTCTTTCGCTAGCACCTAAGATATTCCCTTATATTTCCCTATATGACCTGTAGGTTTTTCACAATTATAGAGAATGCTGTAGTTGATTTGAATTATTTGGAACATGGCTATGTTAGGTTCCAACTTAAATTTAATGGTATCAAATCAACATTAAATTCTAAACATCACTAAACACAACGGATATGCTAATGGTAGTCTTCAGCAACCCCGACCGCCTCCGTGGTCTAATGGTAGAGCGTCCGCCGGAGAGCGGAAGATCCGGGGTTCGATCCCCAGCCGCGTCATGCCAAAAGACGTTAAAAGATGGTACTTGTTGTTATCCTGTCTGGCGCTCGGCATTAAGGGGCTAAAACAAGGACTGGTCCGCTCGGAGTCTGTATACTGTGTCTGAGTGGGGTATTCATGTTAAACTGCGGCATGGTATCTCAGTGAGCTAGCACTATAAATCGGCATCAGTCCGGACTAGTACAAGCAGACACACACACACACACACACACGTACATGCACGTCGCTATATAACTGCAATAATCTTGGACGCGACGTTAAACCCAATTACACCTCACCTCACCTCACCTCACCTTTGGCAACCCATGCTTGCTGTAAAAGGCGACTTTGCTTGTCGTAAGAGGCGACTAACGGGATCGGGTGGTTGGGCTCGCTGACTTGGTTGATGCATGTAATCGTATCCCAATTGCGTGCATCGATGCTCATGATGTCAATCACTGTCTTGTCTGGTCGATTATTTACTGACCGCCGTCATATAGCTGGAATATTGCTGAGTGCGGTGTTAAAAAAGAAACAAATATATGTATAAACTGCACTTTGTTTGTTAAAAGGACATGGCACCAGCAAATGATACATTGCACGCCTAACGTCACGTTGTATGGGTTTGAAAGCTGATCAACGATTGTACAGTGGAAATATGTGATGTATATTATTTCTGCGTGTTGCACCACCCCATCGCGGGCCTCGCCAACAGCACTCACACAGCTCGAGGCAACCCAATACCCCTTATCTTCTTCGATTCCAAGAGGGTCGTGACCAAAATGGCGGTTACGACCACAACAGTCGACCATTCATGCCACAGAGACGTAGTCCAACTTGGTAACTCTAACCCTTCAGGTCGAAGACTCAGTTGTGAATGTCTCAACTTGCAGACACCAAGAGCCGCAAAGATAACGCACCGGTACAACCCAGCATGACAGAAGACTCCGTCACAATAACGCCCTTCTGTTGTGTGGAGCGTGTACCATACATAGCTTGCCAGTACATACTTGCTTCTCTGTGGAGTGTGTTGGGTTTTTGCACCGTGTTTAGAAATAGTTTCGTTCGGAGAATAACAACAATTGGCTTTAAAACGTATTTGTGAAATATTACTCCTGTGATCTGTGTTGTGCTTTGTCCGTTGTTTAACGCCGCACTCAGCTATATTCCAGCTATATATGACGACGGTCTGTAAATAATCGAATCTGGACTAGACAATCCAGTGATTGCCACCATGAGCATCGATCTACGCAATTGGGATACGATGACATGCATCAATCACATCAACGAGCCTGAACACCCGATCCCACTCGTCACTGGATTGTCTGGTCCAGACTCGATTATTTACAGACCGCCGTCGTATAGCTGGAATATTGCTGAGTGCGACGTTAAAAAAAACAAATAAAACACTGTCATGCAAAACAGGGATTGTGCCGGTAAAAAAATAACTCATCTTCTTCAATTCACCAAATAACACGCAGAATGTCAGGAATTAAAAGAACACGTACATATTCTACGGAAACCGCACGCCTCATTCAGGCGGTAATGTTATCCATTTCCACGAGGAGTAATACCCCATTATGCTCCGTTAACCCAACAATCTGGTCGGAATGTATATAAAGGGTGTAAACGCGTTATGAAGTGGAGTGAGTGAGTGAGTGAGAATGGTTTTACGCCGCTTTTAGCAATATTCCAGCAATATCACGGCGGGGGACACCAAAAAATGGGCTTCACACAATGTACCCATGTCGGGAATCGAACCCGGTCTTCGGTCTGACGAGCGAACGCTTTAACCACTAGGCTACCCGACCGCCCCTTATGAAGTGGGGGATTAAGACAACAGCGAGATGAAAGGTTGGTGTTTTCCTATACAGCGTCGCACACCTGTGTTCAGCCATAACAAGGGCGGTTGAGGTGGGGCTGTGTCTGGGTGGTGGTGTTGAACCCTCTTCATTCAGCTATCTCCGGCATGCCTTGTATAATCTACCGTGGAGGAATTTGTCGGAATTCACATGACTGAAGAGTCAGGGTTGTAATAATAAAAGGCAAGTTAATTTGATTTCAGATTTTCCTCACCTCAGAACGTTTAGACTTACAGTGAAGGCTTAAATATGAAATTGTCATAATTTCTCATGGTGGTTACATATCATGTTTGTAAATGGCCAATGAGCGGACACTGATCGAGGCAAACACCAGAGTAGACTAACATCAAGTCTCTGAAATGAACATATTTTACAGAAAAAAACAGTTGTTAAATTATAGTCATAAAATATAATAAAGAGGAGCCCAGAGACTTTTTCATTTTCAGATACTGATACTGCAGTGATCTAGACTTGCCAAACATTATAGACTTGCATGGGCTGTATTGGATATAATTGATTCAGGGTCTGTATGACCGACTACCACCAGAGGGGAAGGACGTGTACAGACACTCGCTCTTTCCCCAGTCATGGACTGGAACAGACTGGAGTCAGCCGTTATATCAGATACGCTGGTACAATTCCGGGCCATGAACATGCTGCTATGTGCCTAGCTCCGACCAAACACGTCCTAAAACCATCAATCACTTTGTGTAAAGTTTTAACATTTTAAAGGAGATCTGTCTGTAACCAGTGCATACACATATGTACACAGAGCTACCCGCCATCTTTCAGGATTCCACCTCTACATAGAAGAATTAGGAAAAGAAGAGGCCTTGATAATCCATTAAGTCGTGAAATAAAATAAAAGACTCCCATGTTTCACACGGCATGAATAGCTGAAAATACAACCCAAGTCCTGTTTATATGCGTACCGTGTGGTTGGCGCTGAGCAACCATACCACAGTTTAACATGGATACCCTACTAAGAATCATGAAACTGGCTCCGCGCTGACCAGTCCTTGTTTTAGCCCCTTAATGCCAAGCGCAGTGAGGTTAATAGTCCTGCACCATAACTGTGGAATATATTTATTTTATGAAAAACAAATAATCTACAAATGTATACAAAAGCAAGACTAGCCAGCTCAAGCTAGCTTTATAATCAGCATAGAATATTGTGTAATATAAGATTTCAGAGACTAAATGTTAGTCTATGAGGTTAACAACAAGTATCTTTAAACGTCTTTTGGTGTGACGCGACCACTGATCTTCTGCTTAAAGGGGGCGGCCCTCTAGCCACTACACCACGGAGGCAGTCAGTCAGTCTGTATATAAGCGATAGTGAGCACTAATTTGATATAACCTAGTAACTACCATGACCAACTTGCAAGTACCTACCGTGACAACTAATCAACGTCGGGGGGAACCCATAAGGTGGGAGTATTATATATATACTCTCTGACAGCAGGCGTCGCTAAACTGACGCATTGTCTCCTTGGTCTTTTTCAAATTTCCGACCCATGAAAGATCCGGGGTGGATAGGTCTTCGGCAATCCGTCCTTTCCTTAAAAGGCGACTGTGCTTGTCGTAAGAGGCGTCTAACGGGATCGGGTGGTCAGGCTCGCTGACTTTGTTGATGCATGTAATCGATCCCAATTGCGTGGATCGATGCTCATGATGTCAATCACTGGATTGTCTGGTCCAGACTTGATTATTTACTGACCGCCGCCATATAGCTGGAATATTGCTGAGTGCGGCATAACAACAAACAAACAAACAACATATATATCTTAATGTAATAAGGAGGTGAGGTGAAATGGGGTTTAACGTCGCGTCCAAGATTATTGCAGTTATATAGCGACGTGCATGTATATATGTAGTGTGTGTGTGATGATCAGTGTGGACTGATGCCGATTGATAGTGCTAGCTCACTGAGATACCATGCCGCAGTTTAACATGAATACCCCACTCAGACACAGTATACTGACTCCGAGCCGACCAGTCCTTGTTTTAGCCCCTTCATAC